CACGCTATATGCAAGCGGGTAGCATAGGGAAAAGTACCCTATTTACTAGGGATTTCACTAAAGGTAGGGAAAGTGTAGAGTCACGACTCTTCTGGATACCTTCCCAATTGGGCATGAGATGGCCAGGCCACATTCTGAAGAAGTCACGAGGTACGTGACACAACGTGTCGGTACGTCATTTCCGGAGCGAGTTGATGCATTTCCGGTTGCAGCGGCCATCTTGGTATACCCAGTTACCATGCAGTACACCCATAGGAAGTGGTAACAGGTGTTTTTGAACTGGATACACATGTGAGTGCAATGTGAATTGTTTTTGTTCGGTTTTATTTAATAAAATACTGCACAATGGAAGGCTTTTTGCTTTGTATCTCATACATATTACCCTGAGCGGAGGTGGAGTGGATAAGGTGCGGCTTATAGAGGAGGAATTGTTTATTATATCCTATGGTCCCTGTGATGAGAAGTGGAATCCAGAGGACCTGACACTGTCAATTATAGCCTTTTGGCCCTGTGTGGGTCAGGGTGTTGAGGTGAGCAGGCATTGCTACCATTTGAGGATTGGTGTTTGTTTCTCCACTAGAGTGAAGATCACGTGGGCACCATCACGTTTTGCATAGACTTTATATTTTGATATTTCACTAATGAATTTTGTTTGGTTTATATTTTATGGATTATAAATTATATTATTGAAGTATAATCACCATTCCCCAATGAATTTTGTTTGTTTATGGATTACAACTATCAATACTGAGTATAACCACCATCACATTTGAGTGTTCACTTTATTTAGAGATTGGTTCACTATATATTATTAATAATTTATATTTTTTTCACTGAGCACTAATACGTTGTTTATATTTAGTTATTTATTTATATGCACTAGGATTATATATATTGATATAGTGCTTCACTATTTATAATAATCAGGCCACATTCTGCCACTCTCAACAGACACTGTCAGTCCGGCTGAAATCTGCACCTGCCATATTGCTGGAAACCATGAATGTACCTGGTTGGGTAATCTGCCCCTGGGTTTGTTGTGAACTGTTGCTGCAATTCTTCCATACAAGTTTTATACTGCACCTGACTGTCACTCATTGCCGCCGCACCATGCTGCAAATTTATTGCACAAATTGCACAATAGCACTTTAATATTGAATTATATATGCAATATTTATTACCATATACTGATTGATTGATTGACATCATACGCAGATTATACACACAGCTGGAGTGTGAAAGGCAGAAGCAGCACTTTCAGTCTCATGCTAACCAGAAACATGCTTTATAGGAATAGAAAGCAGAGTAAAAGAGAGATGAGCTAATCACTTTGCTGTGGCACAATAGGTATAAAGTGCTTATACATGCAAAACTGTGCAATATGCAAATAATAAATAAATAAATAACAATAATCTCCATATGATGTCATTTATTTATTATTTGCATATTGCACAGTTTTGCACGTATAGCACTTTATACCTATTGTACACCGTTTTATATACATATATAGATAAGTATATAATTTGAGAAAGTGCTTCACTCTCCAATTTTGTGATTACATTACCAGGGATTGTTACCCGTACCCTTTTAGTGCTAGCGGCTATCTGGTATAACTATTACTCTTTAAATATCCTATCTGTATGCACTCGCTTATACTTTCTTGAAACAATCACTTCTCCTTGCAATGTCCAATCATAGGTTCGGGCAGGCCCAGATGACCTGAGCTCAAAGGAAAAGGGATGAATGATGCTGGCCACCAAACTGGAGACATCTAGTGGGAGAAAAGAGTACTGCTAAGAAAATCTATGCAATGAAGATAAGTATTGCAGCAAATCTGGGTTTATTTCATTTTCTTCAATGGACTATTCATTTTAGTCTTGTTATTTTTGTCTGGAGTTCTGCTTTAAAGCCTGATTCAAGGCATTTTTTGTAGGTTTGAACAAAGTATAGAAGAGGTATAACCTTTGTTGGGTATCATTTACTGTCTTTGAACTCACTGGAACAATTTCCCCTCACTTCTTGTCCTGATAGCAGCATATTGCAGAACAAGGAAGTGATGGGAAATCTCTCCAATGGGGAGAGGAACAACAAAACAAGAAGTTGGGGAGTTGGAACCTCTTTAGGTCTTTATTGCTATCTGTGTTTTACTGATCTCAAGATACCCATTCCTCATATTTACTGTCCATGTGTCACAGTGATACAGGGATAAGTGAGGGTCACAGACAGCACTAAAAACTTGATAGGGGGTTCTAATTCTTACCCACTTCATCCAAATTAAAATAAAATCTTTGACTAGCATTCATATTGCAAAGAAAGACAGAGTAAGTGTTTTGGCAGCTTCATCTAATGGCTACTTCTCCAAATTGTATGTTTAGTACAGTAACTAAAATATGGAAGAGGAAGCTTGTAAAAGTGGTGCTAGACATTTAAAAATCCCAGTCTGTAAATAAAGGGCTTCATATTTACCCGTGAATGGAAATATTGATGCTGCGCTACCCAATGACTGGGGAATAAACAGACCCCTATACAATGATGAACCAAAAAAAAATATATAAATACTAGACAATAATGAATGACAGAGATAGGTGCAAATGAAATACAGGCGTATCCAGGGGCAGACTGACCATTTGGAAACTTGGGCACTGCCCGAGGGCCCGGGGTCCGTAGGGGGCCCCATGAGATGCCCAGTACCTTTTTCATAGGCTTTTTTGAGTTTGGGCAAGGACACAAGGGCCCCATGATCCCCTATTTCCCTGGGGCTCCATGAGTTGTCAGTCCGCCCCTGGGCGTATCTCGGTTTACGAATTTAATGAGTTTTGCGGGACTTTTTGTAGTGCGAAAATTAGTAAACCAAAATGTGGTTTCCCATAGTAATGCACTGAAAACCAATTAATCTGTTCCGGAGGTCAGAAAAAAGCATTTTCAAAACTCTTTATAAAGTGCACTTTAACCTCCCTAGCAGTCTGATTATGTCAGTATTTATGTGCTCAAAGCAGTAAATTTTTTTACATGGAAATATGTTGTTTTTTTATTGTAGGCCTGTATTTCTTAGGAATAACTCACTGAAATCTGTCCGAACAAGAGTCTAGTAAACATCCCGGTATGATAAAATTTTAAACACCAAATCATAAATTATAATATAATAAATAATCATAAAAAATAATAATATAATAATACATTTAATTCAATAATGTAATCAAACCAAAAACACTGAAATTTGATATAGAGCGCCAAGTTCGCACATCACTGAGCTTAGTTGCAAAATCGTTTTCAGTGTCTGATGACAAATTTCCCCACAAATCGTTATCACTCAGTTTTGCAAGTGGTTTACTATCGCTGTTCTCTAGCTGGTCTAAAACCGATTTTGACCTAAAGGGACGTTTTTTGGACGCCATGGACGTTTCTCAGTTTCCAGGCAGAGAGAACAGTAAAAATGCAGGCAGGGCACAGGACAAAGCACTCGGGACAAAATGTATGTGAAATACTTTGATACAGGAATGTAATACTATGTGATTTTAGTGTATTGAGTGAATGTCACTTTTAAAAATTTTTTAATTTCACGCCGGTTCCATCCCCCGTATGTTTCGTACGCCCTGACGCTCTCAGGGAACGGAACCCAGAAGACGGATGCCGGCATCGGCCGCAGGAGATGGCCAGGGACACTGCAGGGGGGACATTGCGGGAGCGCAGGACAAGGTAAGTGCTGGAGGGAATCCCTGAACAACACTGCAGGGTAATCTCGAGTGTAGCTCGGGGTTACCGCTTGTAGTGCTGAAAGTTATCCCCGAGCTACACTCGGGAATACCGCTAGGGAGGTCAAAGGCATAAATACTGTACAGGGACATGATTAAAAATGAATTTGTAAATGCATTGATAACTAATTAATCCGTTCAGAAGGTCATAAAATAGTCAACAACAGTCTTATCTGTTCAAAACTCTTTACAAAGTGCACTTTAAAGGCATAGTACTGTACAGGGACATGATTAAAAAAAAATTCGTAAATGCATTAAAAACCAATTAATCCGTTCATATTGCGAAAAAAAATCCGGAAACCTAGGCATTATTTTCAATGGGTTTTCATTCGTAAACTGAAAATTACGTTAACCGAGGCGTTCGTAAACTGAGGTACTCCTGTATATAAAAGCACAAATAAACTCGTGATACAATGAGTGAGCAATAAAAAATATAAAAATATGAATGGAGTGAGCATAGGATGATAGATAAATTACATGACACATAAAAACTGTCTGTGATCTAGTGTGTAAAAAATATATATATATAATGGTAAACAAATAATAAATATGGATCACTCAGAGAGCAAAAACACCCAGTGTGAACAAAGTGACATTAATGATACGTGAGCAACAATAAGTGAATGAGTACCATAAAAATCATAAATGCATGAAGAATGTATGAATAAATGTGAAAAATACCACAATAAATTGCACAGTCCCAATGAATCTGTGTATTTTCAATAGAAGCCATGACACCAATGTGTGTTCCAGATTTAAGCTTTGTCTGATTTAACCATTTGCCAACCGCAGATAGCCAAATGATGGCTTCAATGTGGCCGGCCAATTCTGGGAGGGTGTCATATGACGTCCTCCCAGAACGAGCCCTCCCGCGCACCCCCGGGGCCGCGCACCCGGCGATCTCCAATATCGCTGTGTCCTACGGACACAGCTGATCACATGATGTGGTAAAAGGCCAATCACAGCAGCCTTTTACCATGTGATCAGCCATGTCCGATGACACAGCAGATCACCGGTAAATGCAGTTGCTGGTTATCGGCTGCACTTTCCTCACGCTGAGGAAAGTACTGCCGATAACTGGCAATTGTCAGAGGATGGATCGGCACTGATCATCAGGGCACTGAGTGCCATCCACCAGTGCCGCCCACCTGTGCCCAGTAGTGCACCCACCTGTGCCCAGCAGTGCCCAGTAGTGCCACCCACCAGTGTCGAGCAGTGCCACCCATCAGTGCTGCCCAGCAGTGCCACCCATCAGTGCCCATCAGTGCTGCTCAACAGTGCCGCCTATCAGTTCCCATCAGTGCCACCTATCAGGGCCCATCATTGTTGCATATCAGTGCAGCATCATCAGTGCTGCCTCATCAGTGCCAGCTCATCAGTGCCACCTATCAGTGCTGCCTATTAGTGCCCATCTGTGTTGCCTATCCGTGCCACCTCATCAGTGCCACCTATCAGTGCCCATCAGTGCTGCCTATCAGTGCAGAATCATCAAAGCACATCAGTGAAGGATAAAAATTACCTGTTTGCAAAATGTTATTGTAGAAACAAAGAAAAACTTTTGTTTTCAAAATTTTTGCTCTTTTTTTGTTTATAGCACAAAAAATAAAATATTCAGTGACAATTAAATACCACAAAAAAAAAAAGCTGTATTTGTGTAAAAAAAATTATAAAAATGTCATATGGTTACAGTGTTGCATGACCATTCATTCAAAGCGCAACAGCACTGAAAGCTGAAAATTGGCCTGGGCAGGAAGGGGGTATAAGTGCCCAGTAGGCAAGTGGTTAAGGTTTGTTGTGTGTCTAGTACTCCCCTAAGCACTGTGGTTGCTTTCTACAGTCCCTATGTCGTTAGTGTGTTCTGCAGTGACGTAGAGGCTGGCATTAGGGACTACAGTTTAGGAAGGGGGACCAGACATTTGCCACCCCCTTTTTTAGATGATAACAATTATTCAGCAAGCTTAGCTTGACAGCGCAATTGGGGGCATGGGCAGCAGGAAAGGAAAGTATTAAAAGCTAACTCCACCATGTTACACCCGTATTCGGGGTATGTCATGTAACATGGTGCCAAGCCCCTACCTTTAAACCACCTTGCCTCCAGCAGTGTGTGGGGGCACATTGATATATAGCCCCTTGACTTCATAGGCGATTTTCTTGAAAAGGCAAACTTAGCCTCTAAGGTAAACTCTGCAATAATAACTCTAAATATACGCTCATTGATATTGCACTCTAATAAGAAGCTGTTTATATACATAGAATTAATCTAGAACAGAATAACCAGTTCACAACTCCGCTAAAAATATTTCAATTATGATTGGAAGATGGTGGCTAAAATCAACTTCAAGCACCTTGCATCCCTGAGATGCTGTAAGAGTTTCCAGTCAAGGCCTGGACTGAGCGAAGCTATAAGGGAGGGCCAGCATGACTGGGGCGTGCAGACGAGGCGGAGAGTGTAATTTGGGTGGGAGTCTAAGCAAAAGATTAGGGGGGTGGGGGTGGTTACTTACTTGATTGGAGTACGCATCAGTGTGGGGTGGTCTTGCAGGATTTGAAAAGGGGGGGGGGTCTTGTGCCAGGTGGTTTCTCCCGCCCTCCAGCCCTGGAGTTGGTTTTGTATTCTGTTTGTTGTGTTGGTTATGGTTTTGTCCTTGTGTTTGTCCTGGTGTTGGTTTTGCTGTTTGGTTTGTTGTTCGTGGTGTTTGTTTTATGTGGGTTCATTGTGTTTGTTCAGTGTTCAGGACAGCTGTTGTGTCCCGAAGTGTTTGTTCGTTTTGTCATGGCAGCCGGCAGGGGTCGATGGGTCTTTGAAGGCGGTGTTGGAGTGACAAGTTGGTGAATTATGGGTTGGGCCCATCGTAGGTATGGGTGTCCCTTCCCAATAAAAGGTCATGTTGGTAGTGGGAGTTCATTGGCTGTATCTGGGCTAAGTAACGGTAGTATTGTCCCCGAGGCGGTGTAGTAGCGGCTGGGGGCCTTTCATTGGGTGTCAGATACAGCCGAGTTTGTGATGGGAGTAATGGTGCCTTCGAAGACCTTGGACCCGGTTTGGACCCGGTTTGGGATCTTACTGTCAGGTATCAATTACTGTAAGAAATTTATGTTTGAGTTATGGTAAATAAATGGCTGCTATGGCCGGTTTTACACCAGAAAGAGAGTTGCGTGTTTATTTGGGTGGGGAAGGTTTTTGAAGGGGGGTGATGATTTTATGGAATAGGTAAGTATTAGCCTCGGGGATTCTGCAAGTCCAACAGTCATGTAGTAGTCAGCGTTTGTGCTCTTTTTACAGATCCAAAATGTACCGATATAGCATATAATTTCATCTAGCAAAGACAGTGATGCTCTTCTTCTACAATTAATACGGGAAAAACATCTGCATTTTTCTGCAGAATTCTTAAGCAATAAACAAAAGGAAGTTTCACTCATTTACGTAACAAGTAAGAGTGTTTGTCTTACAACATGAGAGTTTTATATAAGAAGAAAAGAGGATTTATTGATTACAAATGGTATATTCATTATACATGCAATTGTATTGGCCACAGTCCATAATAAAGTGGACTGAATCCTGTCACACACCTGGGGCATTAGAAATTATCCTATAACAAAAAAATGCACAAACGGAAGTTTTATGAAAGCTGAAGTTTAGCCACAAAACATGTTTTCTCTACAGTTTCAGTTACATTACTTACCTGTAATGAAGTATGTCCTACAGTGTGCAGGCTGCTGGATTCTGTAGAAATCTGCTCTTCAGGGCTGCCCTGTCCTCTTCCTGCTACTGAACTTCCAGCAGGAATCTGATGGGGACACGCCCCCATAATTACACTGCCTGTAACATGATCTGTGAATGGGAGAGCATCTGATCAGTCACAGGATCCCCTGGAACCTTCTTCTCCATTGAGAAGAAACATGATCTGTTAAGGAAGGGGGGAGGGGATCCTGTGACTGATCAGACGCTCTCCCATTTACAGATCATGTCATAGGCAGTGTAATCATGGGGGCGTGTCCCCATTGGATCATTTTTAGTGCAGCTGTGCATGGAGACCCAAAGCTGTTAACCCCCATAGTGCTGGAAGTTAAGCAGCAAGAAGAGGACAGGTCAGCCCTGCAGTCAAGATTTCTAAAATATACAGCAGGCTGCACATCATGGGACAGTCTTCATTACAAGAAAGTAATGTAACCAAAGTTGTAGATGAAAAAAATATTTTTTAACTGAACTTCAGTTTTAACCACTTGCCGCCCACCCATAGTACATTTACTGCAGGCAGGCGGCAGCTACAGGCTATATGCCAATTAGCACATGTGCACTGGCGTGTCCCCTGGGGCTTGCAATGGCGCAATCCTATGACTGCCATGTCTGCTGGTACCTGGCTACTGTGATCTGCCGGGGTATCATGTGATCACTATGACCAATCATAGCGATCACATGATTACATGTAAGCAAAACTGTCATGAATGGCTTCCATTAATGACAACTTGTTTACTGTTGTGATGCTGTAATTGGCCCACAGCTATCACATGGTACCTGGCACCCTATACCATCTGATTAGCTGCAGCCAGTCACAGCATCACAATAGTAAGCAAGCTGTCATGAATGAAAGCTATTAATGACAGTTAAAACTATTGCTCATCACTGGTATAAGTAATAACAGTGTAAAAAAAAATTCCCTGATCACGCCCCCCCCCCCCTCCCCAAGTAGTACAGTGTTACTGCTCTGAACTATTCTGATGACCGTATGTAAAAAATAAAATAGTAAAAAGCAGAATAAAAATAAAAAAAAAAGAAAAAAAGTTTAATATAATGTATTAATTTTTTTTAAAATGTTTTTTATATATACTTTCACCAGTCAGTATCTCTGATCACCACGACACCATTCATATAATCATGTTGTACTGCACTGGTAGCAGTTTGTTAAAAAAATTGTGAAAAAAAAAAAAACCTAATTTTATTTAATTTCTTCGTTTTCCAAAATATTGTGACAAAAAAATTACAACTTCAAAAAACTTGCCATGCCTCTTATTAATTTCCTTGCACTGTTTACTTTCCAAAAAGGGATCTTTTGCAGGATGTTTGTACTGTCCTGACATTTTTGGGCCTCAGGAAATGAGATAGACCATCAGTACATCAGAACTGACCGATTTTCAGATATACACTGTATTGCCAAAAGTATTGGGATACCCCTCCAAATCATTGAATTGATGTGTTCCAATCACCTCCATGGACACAGGTGTATACAATCAAGCACCCAGACATGCAGACTGCTTCTACAAACATTTGTGAAAGAATGGGTCGCTCTCAGGAGCTCAGTGAATTCAAGTGTCATACTGTGATAGGTTGTCACCTGTGCAATAAGTCCGTCTGTGAAACTTCCTTGCTACTAAATATTCCACTGTCAACTTTTAGTGGTGTTATAACAAAGTGGAAGCAACTGGGAACAACAGCAACTCAGCCACCAAGTGGTAGGCCACGAAAAATGGCAGAGCGGGGTCAGAGCATTTAGAAGTCGCCAACTGTCTGCAGAGTCAATAGCTAAAGACCTCCAAACTTTGTGTGGCCTTCAGATTAGCACAACAACAGTGCGTAGAGAGCTTCATGGAATGGGTTTCTATGGCCGAGCAGCTGCATCCAAGCCTTACATCACCAAGTGCAATGCAAAGCGTTGGATGCAGTGGTGTAAAGCAGGTCGCCACTGGACTCTAGAACAGTGGAGACGTGTTCTCTGTACTGACAAATCACGCTTCTCTGTCTGGCAATCCAATGGGCGTGTCTGGGTTTGGGGGGTTGCCAGGAGAATGGTACTTACCTGACTGCATTGTGTCAACTGTAAAGTTTGGTGGAGGGGGATCATGGTGTGGGGTTGTTTTTCAGGGGTTGGGCTTGGCCCCCTAGTTCCAGTGAAGGGAACTCTTAAAGCATCAACATACCAAGACATTTTGAATTATTTAATGCTCCCAACATTGTGGGAAAAGTTTGGGGATGGCCCCTTCCTGTTCCAACATGACTGCGCACCAGTGTACAAAGCAAGGGCCATAAAGACATGGATGAACAAGTTTGGGGTGGAGTAATTTGACTGGCCTACACAGGGTCCTGACCTCAACCTGATAGAACACCTTTGGGATGAATTAGAGCAGAGTCTGCGAGCCAGGCCTTCTTGTCCGACATCAGTGCTTGACCTCACAAATGTGCTTCTGGAAGAATGGTCAAACCTTTCCATAGACACTCCTAAACCTTGTGGACAGCCTTCCCAGAAGAGTTGAAGCTGTTATAGCTGCAAAGGGCGGGGCCAACTCTATACTAAATCCTACGGACTAAGACTGGGATGCCATTAAAGTTCATGTGCTTGTTAAGGCAGGCGTCTCAATATTTTTGGCAATATAGTGTATATACACACCTACAGACTAAATAATATACACTTTGGGGTACTTTTACCAAAGAAATGTAGAAGTATATATTTTGACCTAAATTTATGAAGATTTATTTATTCGCAAACATTTTTGTTTTAATTTTCGTCTTTTTTCATTTATTTAGCAAAACATTTTTAAAAAGTGGTGATTAAATACCACCAATAGAAAGCTCTATTTGTGTGAAAATATTATAGAAATTGCATATGGGTACAGTGTTGCATGACTGCACAATTGCCATTCAAAGTGTGACAGTGCTGAAAGCTGAAAAATGGCCTGGGCAAGAAGGGGGTAAAAGTGTCCAGTATTTAAGTGGTTAAATACCACCAAAAGAAAGCTCTATTTGTGTAAAAAAAATGATAGAAATTGTGTTTGGGTACAGTATTGCATGATCGAGCAATTGCCAGTTAAAGTAGCACAGTGCTGAATAGCAAAAAAAAATATCACTTCATGACGGGGGTAAAACCTTCCGGATATCAAGTGGTTAAGGGAAACTGCTTGTCCAAATAATCAGAAGGTCTAGAATTATAGACAGCTAAAATTATATCTAGACAAAGATGTAATATATTGCAGCTTATTAGTCCATAGATGTATTGGATGCATTATTCTTTTGCAGACAGTACAGAAAAATGCATTTTGATCCAGCCAGAAATATTGTGTCCTTATAGCTTAGTAAATACATATTTAAATGCAATGGTAATGACAACCTTTCTACCTTTTTTTACTAAAATTCACATTAGCATTCATCTCTACATCCTCCTAGATTGTTAGCTCCAACGAGCCGGGCCCTCTGTTTCCTGTTGTACCAAATTGTATTGTAACTGTAATGCCTACCTTCATTTTGTAAAGCACTGCACAAATGCTTGGCGCTATATAAATCCTTTATAATAATAATAATAATACATGCTAACATGAAACCATCTATCCAGGGGCGGACTGACAACTCATGGGGCCCCCGGGCAATAGGGGATCATGGGGCCCCTGTGCCCTCGCCCACACCCAAAAAAGCCTCTGAAAAATCCAATGAAGGTACCAAGGGCATCTCATGGGGCCCCCTACTGACCCTGGGCCCTCGGGCAGTGCCCAAGTGCATGAATGGTCAGTCCGCCCCTGCGTCTAACATTAAATTCTTTAAAAACCAAAAAAAAAAAAATATTTACTTACCTTTTTTGTGTCCACTGCCTGGTTTTCCTCATTTTCCCTTGCCTTCTGGGAAGGCAATATCACCAAGGGGGTAGCACCTTGATAGAAGCCTTGTGACTACATCCTGAACCTTGATGATTCAATCCCCAGGGAATACAGGAGACCATTTCCCCCAGTAATGACTACAACTCTTGGTTTCCCGCCTAGTAAAATATCTTTCACCATTATCTCATGGTGCCCCTCTCCTAGGGGCAGGACTGGCACTTAACCTCAGTGACTCCTAAAGTCATAGCTCCTCTATAGGGACATCCAATGGCCAGCTGGGGGAACTACCACAGGCCACATCTGTGCCCTACCCTAACAAGCAACAATGTTAAAGAGAAACTTCAGTCCTCTTTGTAGTCACTCATGTCCCCCCACCCTTCAGTGCCGCCATTATGACTCCTGTCCTGGCAGAGCCCTTCAACACATCTGTGTGCATGAAGGAGATTTCCTATGCATGAGCAAAATGGCGAAAGGTTTGGGACCTCACAATACTCCTCTCTTTGCACATGCACAGAGAAACCCATGCATGCACAAATATATTGGAGGAAACCTGCGCATGCGCAGATGTGCTGCAGTGCTCACTCGGGACCAAAAGCCCTGCAACACATCTACAATTATGAAAGGGGGGAGGCAGGGCAATGTGACATTTACAAAAGGGTGAAGGTCCACTGGAATGATTCAGTTTTTAACATATGATGATATCTTTGTAGGGAGAATGGAGAGTAGTTTCTTAAACCAGAACTATAAAACTAGTAACAGGAAAACTCTGTATGTCTCTTCTGCCATAAAGCCACTTTCCCTTCTCCCTTTTTTCCCCCTAACATTTTCTTTTTATAAGTGCAGTTCATGCCCTATGCATGGGCATTATATCATCATTGGCCACCCAATGCCTGAAGACAAAAGAACCTGAACCTGGAAGAAAATCGGGAGTAGAGATGTGCACGATGAAAACATTTGTTTAGTTTTGGATTCATTTAGAATGAGTTTTGGATTCATTTGTTAAGTTAAAGCGGAGTTCCACCTGAAAAAAATAAATAAAAATCATCAGCAGCTACAAAAACTGCTGACTTTTAAAATACAGCCACTTACCTGTCCCTCGGTCCAACAGTGTCCTCACCACCGCTGGTTTCACCAGCCATCTTCTCTCCCTGGCACCGGCATCTTCAGTGTGGGTCTTGCGGCTTCACAGCCGGGTGCCCACTGCGCATTCGCGAGAAGCACTGCGCTTTGTGAATGGTGGCCCCGTAGTTTTCTGGGACCTGTAACGTGTCCCAGAAGACTACGGGGAGGGGGACGACAACTTCCGCTTCCGATCCCCTAGGCCATCACAGCGGAAGTGGGAGCGTGTACCTGTCAAATTCGGGTACCCGCTCCCCAAAGGTGCCATTCTTTAATGGAGAGCGGGGGACAAGGGCTAAAAGTGGAACTTCCCCTTTTGGGTGGAGCTTCGCTTTAATCATTTTGTTTTGCCATATTGGTTATGTTCAAATTATTCATTTTTGGAATTTGTTTTGTATATTCTGATTAGTTTTGCATATTCAGATTTGTTTCGTATATTAGTTTTTCCGACTCTATTCTATTTTTAGAAGTTATTTCGGAAGATTATCTATATTCTTTTTAATGTGTTAATTTATTATTTTGCGTGATTACTGGTGCACTCATCCCTGCTAGTCCGACCCACAAAGAGAAAATGGAATGAGCTGATTGGATGATATCGGAAAAAATGAATGGAGCAAAATTAATTTTGGATTCATTTGTTATGTTAGAGATTCTGATGGATCCACTTCCATCCAACCCAAGCACAATAAGTAGGAATCATCTTATTTCACTTTTATACCTTACTGTATTTTTTGCAATATGTTTCCTTTTTATATGTAGTGCATTTTTTATGATATTAAAAAATGTTGCTGCAAAATAAAAACAAAATTGAATCAATTTGGATCATTTGTTATGTGGGTACATTATTTCAGATGTTTTAAAAAGGCCCACATTATCGTATCATGTCATCTGAATTAATACAAATTATTATTATTATTATACAGGATTTATATAGCGCCAACAGATTGCTCAGCGCTTTACAATATAACAGAAAATAATACAGCAACAATACAGTTCAATACAAGAGGGTTAGGAGGGCCCTGCTCCTTGGAGCTTACAATCTAAGAGGGAGGGGCTGGTGGTACGAAAGGTAATAACTGTGGGGGATGGACTGGTAGGAGGAATAGAAGATTCCGTTATTAGCTGAGGGCGGGATAGGCTTCCCTGAAGAGATAGGTTTTCAGAGATCGCCTAAAAGTGAGCAGATTAGGCGATAGTCTGATAAATTGGGGTAGAGAGTTCCAGAGGATGGGGGAGGCTCTGGAGAAGTCCTGGAGACGAGCATGGGGAGGAGGAGACAAGGGAGCTAGAGAGCAGGAGGTCGTGGGAGGAGCAGAGAGGACTGTTTGGGTGATATTTGGAGACAAGATCGGTGATGTAATTTGGGGCAGAGTTATAAATGGCTTTATATGTTATTGTTAATGTTTTGAATTTTATTCGTTGGGCAATGGAAAGCCAGTGGAGAGATTGGCAGAGAGGGATGGCAGATATGGAACGGTTAGTAAGGCGGATGAGTCTGGCAGCAGCATTCATGATAGACTGAAGAGGGGATAGCCTGCGATTAGGTAGGCCAATGAGGAGGGAGTTACAATAGTCAAGGCGAGAGATACAAATGGATTTGTTGTTTTATTATACTTTATTTCAGATTTGTTTAAATTCGCTACTGTTGTGATTTGGAGATTTGTATAGATCCGAATCTCCAAATAATAAAAATTTTGCCCGAATATTAATTCATAACTAAACCGGAGAAGATGGCACCAATGGATCAACGAGGAGGGTGGGGGGCTTGGATTTCGCATCACATGATACTACCACATTATGGTGAGAGCTGCAAATATAGGAGGAGGAGAACCATGAAGAAAGGGAAAGAGAGAGAGAGAAAAGGTAGGTGTATGTCTGTGAGTGCATGTGGGTATGCGTGCCTACAAAAAGCTTTAACCATTTTTTTTTCTGTGAATGCACACTCATAATACAGCTAATCACATACTGGAAATGAATGTTGACTGATAAACAGAAAATGATACTGTGCAAAGGGTTTCTTGAACTGGTAATGGGGTTTACGTTTAGTGATAAGTCGAGGTCCCTCATTCATGGTGAGAATCTAGTTTCTTTTTCCATTTCTTCAGACAACGTTGGCCACTGGACCTATAAAACAGAACAAAAGGCAGTTTCTATTCACAGTAAGCTTACATTACTGGAAAGGTGAGGAATCAGAGTGGTTACGAGGTTTCAAAGTTTTTATTTTTCTTAAAGGATCCCGAAATACATTGTATTCTCATAACAGTACATAGTTGATGTGT